CGATAATTTTTAATCGATATATATCGATTAACTGCTATATATCGATATATATCTGCTTAAAAATTTTGCTGATGATTGCCTCTGAGTCACCCAACCAGAGGACTTACACATGCAATCTTCTACTGCCTAGACCTTCTGTGAGATTGCTATCACACGTAATGCCTTCACTCTACAACCTGATCTCCTTTTAGAAACTTCTTATTCTGGTTTTGTATTGTACTTGAACTTTTTACAAGGCTTTGCATCTGATTATAGCCTCTGTAGGTTACAGAAACAAATTTTTAATTTGCCTCCAGCCCGACTTGAACCATTAACCTTGTCTGTGGGGGTTTGGAAGCTTAACCAATAAGTTATAGAACCCAAACTCACAAAATAATTTCTAAATCATCTTATTTGTATATTTTATTTAAAAAACAAAATATATATAATATATTAGATCGTATGAAATTATACTATTAAAAGTGAAGATAACTAAAAATGTTTTGCTTAAAAATACTTTATTATACCAGATTTAAATATATTTTTATTACTAACTATTTAAGCTAAATAGATTCAAGTTTTTTAATAGTTAAAGATCTAGGTTTGATTTTAAATTTGGTCTGTTTTTATAGTATAATTAGATTTTTAACTATAATTAGAGTTTTTTTTTAATTAAAGTGATCTTATGATTTGTAGCTTTTATTGATTTTTGTGCTAAGCTGATCATAGTTAGCTACTATTTATTTAGTACATAATTTTGGAGAATACAACTAACCACATATACAACTTTTGATTGTCTATTTAAGTAGTCTGCTCACAGATTCTACACTAGATGCTATACCTATAATTTAACTAGAGAATTATCTATTTAAACTCTCTGCACTACTATATCATTATAAAAAACCAATTTTGCTTATAGAAAACATACCTATCTAGGACTAATTTACTCTCGAATTAAACTTGCTAAAGCTTTTTGTACTCACAATCTGGCTAGCCTAGATTTCAGTAATTTACGCTAAGTTCAAGAACAAGTATTTGCAAGCTGAAGCTACTACTATTACCTACTTCTGCTTTTATAGAGTTTACTCAAACTCTAATACTCTTTTCAAATCTATTTAGTATTTTCTCTTTTGGTACTACTCTAGTTAATCTTTCCAAATTATCAATTCAGATAGCCCAAAAAGACACTAGTTTCTTAATATCTGTATGCAGATTTTTTTTCTCTGGTCGATGCTTCAACAGCCTAGTTAGTAGGGTATCCTTGCCAGATACCTAGTTCTCATTTAGTTGTATTAACCTCAAGTATATTCTATCCTAGTAGTACTGTCAAAGATCTGTACTATCTCTCTATTCAGAACTTGCCAAGCAAATATCTATTGCCGAATTAGCTCTGTGGTTTTCTGCGATATCAGTATATATCTCTGTATAACTTTTTCATTGTACAAATGCTCGAAATCTTCTAGTTTAAATAAATTGATACGATCACAGTTACAGGGTCTTGAGTTTTCTCAGTCACGACAATAATTACCAAATCTAGTTTTTCTAATTTAATTTTTATCTTTAGTGGGAATTGAACTTGTATTTAATCACTTGGGGTACGATACTATAATTAGAGACGTGACAAAAATCAGGTGATTTTTTAGAGAGGAGTGAGGTAAAAAAGTTAAAATTATATATAAGAACCTAATTTTTTTTTTATATTAAAAGGGGAAAGGAAGATAAGTCTCTGATAAAAAATAATCAGGTGATAAATGACATTGCCCTTAGAGTTTAATTTATATCTTGATAGATTCTTTAATATATTAGGATTTATTAGTAACAAGCATTGTATTTACTCCATTTATATATATTTATCTATACTCTAAGTATATATAATAAATTCTTTTGTATGTATTTATTAGTAAGCTTTTTTATATGAGTTTTTTTTGTTTCTAATAGTATTAGAATGATAAGTTCTTTTAAAAATTATGTAATTTTATTCTAATTGTAAATATTAAATTGTCTATCTTTCATAGTTTACTTATAATAAAGCATAATTTGTATTAAGTACTACATAATTGCTCTTTATTATTATTGTTTTACTGTGTCTATATTATTTTTATATTGATACTCTTTAGAGTGCTGATATTTATTAGATAATTTTTTAAAGGTGAGATAAAGCCAAACTTTACCTCAATATAATATTAAAATTTAATTGGTTAATAAAATATTATCTGGGAGGAAGTAAATAGAGCTCTATAATAAATGAATATTAGATAATAAATGTTAGAGCCTTTATTTTGATTTCTATTTTTTAAATAATTTGTATGCTTTTCAATTAAAAAAATTGAGCAAAATAATGTTTATATACTATATATAGATAAAAATAAAATAAAAATATAATCTTAGCCTTATAATAAATACCACAAATTACTATATACAAGATTCTATAATAGTAAACTCATGATATAAAATACATAAATGTAAATAACAATATCTATATTAATTATTTCAGATTGCTTTAAATATTAAATATACATATTTCAAAGTTTTTTTTAATGAGATAAATTCTTAGCTATATATTAAACACAGGGTCTACTATTATTTGATAGAATATAAGAGATTTAGATTTTGTATATAGTAATTTGTAATAGTAAAATAATAAATCAATATGAATATAAACCAAGCCTAGTTATCTATTTTTGTAAATTCATTCTAAACTGTATTGTAAATAAAAATATATCATTTTCTTAATATTATCAAAAATTTCATTAAACAAATATAAAGCTAGCTACAACTTAAAATAGATTTATAGTATTATATAGAAATAAAATTTGTAATTTTACCAATTTATATAATGTATTGGTTTGCAAAAGCCTATCGCTATATATGCCACCGAAATAGGTTTTCAAAAAAACTCTATTTTGTCTCTATTAAAGCAATTTGAAATTTTTTATATGCAAAAGCAAATTTAATTTAGGTAGTTATATTTTTTTATAATTTTGTTTCTTTAAAAAAAGTGTTAAAAAATTTTATCTTTTAAGTAAAATAGATCAAAAAACAATTTCGTCTTCAAATTTTAATTTCGTACTCTAAAATCTAAAATAATTTTGTCAGTATATATACTTACTACAAAATAGCATTTATTAGCAATACCCATACTGTATACACAGTAAATTTATATAACAAGAAAAAGAAATATTACGATCAGTACAAAAAAAGAAAAATAGTAGTTAGTGGTACAAAATTTTAATTAAATGAATCACTATAAAGAAAAGATATTGTGGTCAATAATTGCTTTGAACAATAAATATTAAGAAAAACCTAACTTAAAAATATTAAAATTCTATTCAAAACATATTATACAATTTATGCAAATATTATTGAAGTACAATAATTTGGTGTAATTATTAAAATATTATATGATTGTTTTGTATTAAAAGAAAAAAGATATTGTTAGTATAGTTTAAATAAAAAATAATTGTATACATAGCATCCTGTGTTGTTTTAATTTATCGTATCTCTAAACTAAATATAAACTAATACATGATAATACAAATATATCGTATTTCAAATTTATGTGCACAAAACTACAGAACGAAAACTATATACTTATTATATGATCATGACCATGATATGCAAACTTTATTACTACCAGTAAATTATATTATTATGTGATATCTTTATTTAATTATATGTCAAACAATTACAAAATAATTATAAATCAAATTAGAGCTTCTTATCTCTAATTTTTTTTGCCATATTATATTCAATTTTTATATTGTTTTCACATACATCCTCTTATCAGATTTTCAATTGATTTCTTTATTGCTTCTTAATTTGATCTTTTTAGTACCTTATTTGATTTTTTATTATCTTTGCATTTTAGTTTCTTGCTAATTTTCTTGTAGCTTTTTTATTCAATTTTTTGTTACTTTCATATCTGATTTTCTTATTACTCTTGTCTGATTTTCTTGTTATCTTTGAATCTAATTTTCTTGTTATCTTTGTATTTAATTTTTTGTTGCTTTCATAATCATTGTAGTGTAATAAACATGAAGCCATAGTGGTATGAATTAAATACTCTCGATTTCTTAAATAATTCATCAGAAGATATGATAAAAATAGAAAGATACAATTTTTTTGATAACAATATTAACCGCTCTATAAACAACAATATCTTCAGCTTATTAAGCGAACCTGATACATCAAATATAAATAAATCTGGTACCTCAATTATGAACAAGCCTGCAATTTTAACTATAGACAAGCCTAACAATTTGAATAATCAAGATATTATTGAAGATAAACTGACTTGTCAACTTGATATCGACTCTGAAAAATATGATAATAATGTTTTAGATAATGCAAATAATGAGATTAAAATCAGTTCAGAAGATATTTCTATAAACATTGTTTTTGATTCTTGAAAAGAAGTTGAACTTTTTTTGAGAAGTATGGAAAACAAAATAGATTTACTATAATTAAGTATCATATAAAAAAAAATAAAGTGGAGATTGTTTATAAATGAACTCTTATTTGTGAGGTTGAAGATAAATATAAATTGCAGAAAAGTCAGGTTATTATTTAGAAGAATAAACAAAAGAATATAAGAACAAAGAAGACTAATTATAAATAGCATGTAAATCTCTTTTATAGAGAAGCTAGGACTCAAATATCAATTACCACCTTTGTCAGCAAGCATAACTACAATATATATATAAAAATACAAGATTTTGAACTCAAATATCATTCTCTTACAGAAGATATCCAAAAAGAAATAGAAATTATAACAAAATATAAAAACTTATCTATTACATCACAGTATAGCCTTTTAAAAATATGTTTTTCTGATTTGCAATTTCTTGATAGCAACTTGTTAACTATATACAAAAATTCAAAAAAGACAAGCGTGAAATGAAAGATGTATTAAAACTTCTTAATTTCTTATTAACTAATAAAATAAAAATTCTAGATGAATATAGAATTTGAGTTAAATAAAGATAATAGACTTACATAGCTATTCTGTATATCTTCTAAACAGATCAACTTGTATCTAAAATATTATGATGTGGTTATCAGTGATAATATAGCAAAAACTAATCAATATCAAATACCTTTAGGGCTATTTGTGATTATTAACAATAATGCAAAAACACAGCTTGTTTGTCAGACTCTTGTGAATAATGAAACTCTTAATACTTATAGTTGGACCTTGACTTGTATCAAAATACCACAAAAATAGATCTCTTGGTTATATTTGCTGATACAGATCTAGTACTTGATGCTGCAATCTATATTATATTTGTATTTTTCATATTGGACAAAATTTATCTAAGAATTTAAAAGCTAAATTAAATAACAAATAGGAAGACTTTATGAAACCTTTTACCAATACTGTAATAGCTTTTGTGAACTACTTTTTTATAAATATTGAGATAAAATGCTTAATAAATACTTAATAGCAAAGAACTATTTGCTATATTTATTGCATCCTTGTAATAGATCTTGAGCACATGTTTACCTTTCTAAAATCTTCACCGCTAGGATTGAGAATATAGCTCATATTGAATATTATAATTGGATAATTAAAAAAAAACTAAAGTCAAATAGCATGTTGTGTAAATTTGCAAATAGTCTTGAAAAGTGTCTAAAAGCAGAAATGTAATAGAATAGATATAATCAGTACAAAAGCTTAACAATATTTGCAACTATGCTAACTATTGGATATGATCTTTTCCTTGCAGTAGTTAATATTATTGATAAATATCTCACAGAGACAATTAATAATTTAATAAAGTTTGAAATATCTTAATATTTGTTTTTTGTAGCAAGTAGTATTAAACCAATATCTGATAAGCTAAATTTTAAACAGGAATATATTGAAGAAACTTCAAATGTATTTATTAAAGATAATGATAATATATATATAATTACTCTTTGGGCCATCATAGACGAAGTCAGAAGTGAAAACATATAAGATATTTGGAAAATTTTTGATATTTGTAAAGAAAAAAAGCATCACATACATTTTATAGTTATAGTTAATCTGGTATCTTTTTTATATTTATATCTTATATCAATTTTAGGGAGAATCATCTGCTATCATTATTTTTGTATTATGATGTGGGCTAGAAGCTGAGAAAAGAGACCAAATTGACAATTTTTTCAAAAGTAATTTTTTTACATAAATCAATTTAGAATAATATCAGGATCATT